TGTTTTTTTTTTTTTTTTTTAAGACAGAGTTTCACTCTTGTCATCCAGGCTGGAGTGCAGTGGCACGATCTCAGCTCACTGCAACCTCCAGCTCCTGGGTTCAAGCGATTCTTCTGCCTCAGCCTCCTGAGTAGCTGGGACTACAAGCGCCCACCACCACACCCAGCTAATTTTTGTATTTTTAGTAGAGGCGATGTTTCACCACATTGGCCAGGCTGGTCTCGAACTCCTGACCTCAGGTGATCTGCCCGCCTTGGCCTGCCAAAGTACTGGGATTACAGGCCTGAGACACCGCTCCTGGCCTATGCTGTGTGATTTTAAAGACCTTTATTTATGTTTACTGATTCTTATTTTGAAGAATTTTAGAGATTTGAAAATTAGTAGTTTTACTTTTTTACCTTTACTAGTGGAATTCCACTTTAGAAGGCTGCCTTTTATTTACTAAACTCTTACGACCAAAATGAATTTTAAAAGGGTCTTTGAAACAAGGTTGGACTAGTGTGTGGCAATAGAATTTAAGCTACAGAATTGTTGGCAAAGACATTCATGATAGCTTTATGGTTTTATGTACTTTAATGATGAGGAAACTGAGCAACCAACTTCAAAAGTTCTGATAATACATATTTTTGTTAGTTTTTTTACAGGAAGTGGCATGGGTTTTGAAGCCTTTATTACCCATTCAGGTATGTTGGTTGTGGCAGTGTGCACAAAAAGAGAATATGCAACGGTTATGCTTCCTGACCACAGTTTCTGTGATTCCCTCTGGGTAAGGCTTTAGGGCATCACATTTAACTTCTTGTATGGTTAATGGTATTTCCCACTATTGTCATAAATTCAACAGCAGTCATTTTTTTTGCTAAAAAAATTTAAATGAGGCTGGGCAGTGGCATACCTGTACATAATCGCAGCACTGTAGGAGGCCAAGACAGGCAGATAACTTGAGCTCAAGAGTTTGAGACCATCACTGCAACATGGTGAAACCCAGTGTCTACCGAAAAATACAAAAATTACCTGGGTATGGTGATTTGTGCCTGTGGTCCCAGCCACTTGGGAGGCTGAGTTGGGAGAATCGCTTGAGCCCAGGAAGTCAAGGCTCCAGTAAACTGAGATGGTACCACTGTATTCCAGCCTGGGCAACAGAGTGAGACCCTGTCTCAAAAAAATAAAAAATAAATAAATTAGTAAATATGTATTTAGAATGTTAGGATGTCTTAAGGTTTTCTATAAGTAAAAAAAATTTTTTATTTTTTTAATTTTTTTGAGATGGAGTCTTGCTCTGTTGCCAGGCTGGAGTATAGTGGCGTGATCTCAACTCACTACAACCTCTGCCTCCTGGGTTCAAGCAATGCTCTTGTCTCAGCCTCCCAAGTAGCTGGGACTACAGGCACGCACCACCACACCCAGCTAATTTTTGTATTTTTAGTAGAGATAGGATTTCAGCATCTGTCTCTTATACACATCTAGATGTGTATAAGAGACAGCTTTGAAACAAGGTTGGACTAGTGTGTGGCAATAGAATTTAAGCTACAGAATTGTTGGCAAAGACATTCATGATAGCTTTATGGTTTTATGTACTTTAATGATGAGGAAACTGAGCAACCAACTTCAAAAGTTCTGATAATACATATTTTTGTTAGTTTTTTTACAGGAAGTGGCATGGGTTTTGAAGCCTTTATTACCCATTCAGGTATGTTGGTCGTGGCAGTGTGCACAAAAAGAGAATATGCAACGGTTATGCTTCCTGACCACAGTTTCTGTGATTCCCTCTGGGTAAGGCTTTAGGGCATCACATTTAACTTCTTGTATGGTTAATGGTATTTCCCACTATTGTCATAAATTCAACAGCAGTCATTTTTTTTGCTAAAAAAATTTAAATGAGGCTGGGCAGTGGCATACCTGTACATAATCACAGCACTGTAGGAGGCCAAGACAGGCAGATAACTTGAGCTCAAGAGTTTGAGACCATCACTGCAACATGGTGACTGTCTCTTATACACATCTAGATGTGTATAAGAGACAGATACTGAAGCTTTGGAAATGCAGAAAAGGCACTGTTACAATTGTGTATATTTTATAGAATACACCTAGGTGCTTTTGTACTATGGAAAAAATTGTTACTTTGAGAACATCAATTTAATTAACATTTAACTAAGTTTAATCTTAATGTTCTATTTGTACAAATTATAGAGCAAAATTCTGAAAGCATTTGTCATTCCAAAGATATAATATAATTTTATCCTTTTAAATGTGTGTTTCACTTTATCAGCACAACATAACTATTGTCCACATGCCTGGAAAAAGGCCCTTTGGTCAGAGCTTCATCTATATCTATGACAATGGACAACAGAAGGTTTCTGCCCCTCTCAGGTTTCCTGCCATGAATGAAGTAAGTATATCCAACCTACTCTTTACAGGCTCCATTGATTGAGAATTCTTGAAATGTTTTAGTTAATGTAGAAGGTTATGTTTGCTGTAAATATGTGGCCCCAGATTTTAAAGTGTTTTCTATGTGGTAAGACTCCACATATTAATATTCAGTTCTGTCAGCCTGTCATTATTAGATGAAGTCAAACAATGTGAAAAAAGGAAAACATTTAAGGAAGAAACAAAGGCTTAGAAAGAAAGAGTTATAACAGGAAACCCAAAGAAATGAATAGAGCAGATCAATCTATCTTTTAATAAAAGCTCTCTTAAGTATGTGAAATACTTAAGAGAATATTACGAGGTACTCTTCTAACTCGATTAAAATTGAAACAATAATGAAGAAGCTTAAAACCTTCACATTTTAGTTAGGTATAAAATAGAGTTTATGTATTGAAGTGGTTCTCAAAGAACACTAGAGGGCCTTTTCTGAAGATAGTGGAATAGAGTAGATTATTTCTCAAGTCCTATGATTCAAGTAATTTCTTGGTTTTCATCTCAGGGACCATTTTAGGATAGTTTGTGATTAATATTTATACATTTTAAAGAGAAAAAATAGTTTTCTCTATTTTCAAAAACAGTAAAGTTAAAAAAATTCTTAATCATATACACTTTAAAAATTCAAAAATTACCAAAGAAAATAAAATCAGTCATAAAAGTAATGCATCCAAATTCTATAGGCTAAGGTAATTTTGCTAATAATTTCCTAAGTATACACATGCATGTACACATCATGATTTGGTAAAAATAAAATTGCTTCCACTTTTATTTTCATTTTGTTTATTTGTGTAATTTTATGCACTATTTTATTGTGTAATTTTATGTTCAATATGAGGATATATTTTAATTAAAATTGTGTAATTTTTTGGTTTGTTTTTAGTCCTTTACTTCCTGTTGCATTGGTTCAGCTGGGCAAAGAACCACCACTCCTCCGCCATCCCAAATCCCAGATCCACCTTTCTCTTCTCCCATTACCCCTCATCGGACTTCATTTGGTGGAATTCTGTCATCAGCCTCCTGGGGAGGAACAATTGAAAAATCAAAATTGATTACCAAATTGATATCAGCTGGAACCCAAGACAGTGAATGGGGGTGTCCCACATCTCTGGAGGGTCAGCTAGGATCTGTTATCATCTTCTACGAAGCACTACAACCTCCTCAGGTGAAGGCATTATATTTAGCAGGTAAGCATGTACAGTCATAATGCTTATGCAAATTTAGAGTTTTTTCTGTTGTCTAAATGTATTCTAAAGAATATATTTCATGTGAAGAGTTAATTTGTTTTAACTGAAGCTAAAGGGGAAGAAAAAGCCCCTCCACATACCATACTTTTTGTTTTGTAGGCATAAATAAAGCAAACCTTTGGGAAGTATTTCAGATATCATCCATAATACTGCCTGTATTTGTCTGCTAGGGCTGTCATAGCAAAATACCACAGACTGGGTGGCTTTAACAACAGAAATTTATTTTCTCACAGTTCTGGAAGCTTGAAGTTCAAGATTGAGGTGACGTCAGGATCAGGCTCTTACTTCTGTAGAAGTCAGGCTTCTGTTCCTGGCTTGTAGGTGGTCACCTTCTTGCTGTGTTCTCACATGGTCTTTTCTCTGTATGCATATGGACAGAGAAAGAGATCTCTTATGTTTCTTATTATAAGGGGCTCTGTCAGATTAAGGCCCATCCTGATGACTTCATTTAATTCCAGTTACCACTTTAAAGGCCCTATTTCCAAGTATAGTCACATTGGGGATTTTGACTTTAAACAGGAATTTTAGGGGGACATAATTCAGTCCATAACACTGCCAGTACTTTTGACAGATTTTAATGAATCGATGAAACAAAGTATAACCGTATCTCCAGAAGAAATTATATAACTGCTTCCAAAATTATGAGCCTTATTCTAAAACTTGTCATTTTTTCAACTGATATATTAATATACCTGAAGAATTCAGAAGGCAGTAGAATTAGGGGACCTTGGATAAGTTTGCAAACT